GATTTTTAAAGGTCACCAATACCAACTCTGACCATCCTGACCCACTTCACCAATTTAAACACATTAGATAAAAGTACTTTGGCAGGGACGGCCCGGTGGCGCACTGGATAAGTGCGCCACTTGGGAAGCGCAGCGGCGCTCCCGCCCGAGGGTTCGGATCCCACATACAGACCGGTTCCCGCTCGCTGGCTGAGCGAGGCGCGGGAGCAACACCGAGGGTTGCAATCCCGTTGCCGGTCCCTGGTCCGGTACGGGGGCAACACTGAGGGTTGCGATCCATTGCCGGACACGGAAAAAGAAAAAAAAAAAAAAAAAAAAAAGTACTTTGGCAGCCCATCATAGTACAACTCCAATATCCTAAGTACCATTTACATTTTCAGTTTTAATTTTCTTCTTTTTCTTTTTCTTTTGACTAAGTTCACATATAAGCACAACTAATCTTCATTGTTGTATGTTGGCCAAAATAGATTTCTTCTGATTAACCCTCAGGAGAGTCAGGGAGGCTTGATTAAAGGAGAGATTTTAAAGTCATAGATGTCAAAGCAAATTCCTTTTTAGGCAACTCAGTTTGGCAGGACTACGCGATTATCTTAGTAAGAACTTTCAAATTCTAGAACAAAAATATACTAAGCACATCCTAACATCCCAAGAAATAGGGCTAGCAGTTGAATAAGGGCTATCTTAACATTCTTCTATTAAACCCCATTTTGTTCCATAACCCAGGCTTCTTAAGAGACTGTCAGGACAATTAAACCTCCACCTACTAAGAGCCTGTCTACAATGGCTTATGAAGGCAGGGATAAGAGCCAAATTCCAGGTTGGCCTCAGTTATGTCTAAATGTCAATTTGCTTATCCCACACAAAGAAACATACGAACATCCTGAGGCAGACCTCTTTTAAGGGAATAGGGTCAGGTTCCCTAATAAGTGTTTTTACCCCAGAGGATAGACAGGAATGTGCTGTCTCCATGATTCTATGGCTCGATAGAATCACAGATATGTTTACCATTCCTTTGTAACTCTTTACACTCTAGACTTTATGTTCTCAAACCACTCTGTTTTAGAAAGATTTTAATGTCTTAGTAAAGTACAAACACCATCAATCTAGTGTTATTGTGTCCATGTGTATGTTCTGGATTAAGGCACTTTTCTTGTTGTTTGGATTACAAACCACATTACTTGATAAATATCTGAGAAAAATGGGAGAGGGTGAGTTGGAAATGAAAGTAGACTTCACTTATTCTGTGAATACAATTTTTCCAAGAAAAAAACTTCCTGCAAGTGTTTAGTTTTCTAAATAACTTTATAATGGAGCAAAACCATATTCTGGCAAAAAGAGCCAAAGTTCTTATTTTGGTATAATTTATTCCCTTTGGTCAAACAGGTCAACAATAAGGTCATCAATTTCCTTGGCAATACCTACCTCCATTCTCACCCCTACCCTGCCTTAATGAATTTATTAACTTATACCCTGCTTTATCTACGAAAAATCCTAAATAGCTAATAGAGCTATTAACATCAGCTTAGTTCCACTGTGCTTTTTCAAAGAAGATTTATTAAAATGGTATGGAAAGATCATTTCCCAAAAAAGTCACCTTCAACTTTCAACAAACATTATGTTTTATTCCATATCTATTTGGATTACCAATATTTGATATTTCTAGCATAAGTTGTCAGCAGTTCTTCTAACACCAAACAACTAAGGCCTTTCATTCAAGAATCAGAACTGCTTATGTTGGCATCTTGATAACACAATCTTAACATCTAATTTCCTGATATTAAAAAAAAAAAAGTCAATATCGGGGAAAGGACAACCTCTTTAATAAATGGTGCTGGGAAAATTGGAGATCCATATGCAGACGAATGAAACTAGACTCCTATCTCTCATCATATACCAAAATCAACTCAATATGGATTAAGGACTTAAACGTAAGACCAAAGACTATAAGACTTCTAGAAGAAAACATAGGGGAAACACTTCAGGACATAAGTCTGGGCAAAGACTTCATGAATAATACTTCAGAAGCACAGGGAACAAAAGCAAAAATTAACAGATGGGATTATATCAAACTAAATAAAAAGCTTCTGCATAGAAAAGGAGACAATCAACAGAATGAAAAGACAACCTGCAGAATGAGTACAAATATACCCAAATATCATACTGTTCTCCATAAATATATATAATAATCATGGGCCAATTAAGAAAAATAAAAAGACAGAAATAGAGAGGAGAATAGTGGTTACCAAGGCAAGGAAATTGGCAGGGGGTAGGGGGGAGTGGGCAAATGTTGGTAGACTGAAACTAAGTTACAAAGTGACAGTTAGATAGGAAGAATAAGTTCTGATGCCCTAGGGTGACAGTAGCTAATCATATTGTATATTTCAAGACAGCCAGAGAAGAGGACTTGAATGTTATAACCACAAAGAAATGATAAATATTTAGGTGATAGGTAGGCTAACTATTCTCATTAGATCACTATACAATATATGCATGTATTAAAACAACAAACTATACTCCATAAAGATGAACAATGAAAAAAATAAAGTAAAATCTCTGCTTCTTTACGAGTATAAAGCATACTGCCTTAAAAGCTATTTCCATGTTGGGCCGGCCCGGTGGCACACTGCTACAGTGCGCTGCCTGGGAAGCGCGGCAGCGCTCCCGCCGAGGGTTCGGATCCCACATACAGACCGGCCGCTCACTGGCTGAGCGAGGTGCGGGAGCAACACCGAGGGTTGCGATCCCGTTGCCGGTCCCGGTCCGGTACGGGCGCGACACTGAGGGTTGCGATCCATTGCCGGTCATGAAAAAAGACAAAAAGGAAAAAAAAAAAAAAGCTATTTCCATGTCTAGAACTTTTAAAGCACATTTTTTGCCCAGTAAAAATATATACCTACAATGCATCTATTGATGTTAACTCATACTTTACTTTCAGTTCTATTTAATCACTTGTTAAATAAACAGGGAATCTCAATATCTGAGTAAGTTTTGTGAACAAGGAAATAGTGACAACACTGACTTACCTCCCAGAGCTTAAACAGTCTGAAAATGTTTTATTGCTCAATTCTCATATTTAAAAGGTTAGTCAGAAGTTAGTGGCTAGCTAGCCCAAAGCTGGGTCACCCTGTGCAGGAAGTGGCTGAGAAAATTGTAGCAGATTTTAAACTTTTTTTAATCTGCTGGCCACTTTGGCTAAACACACCAAAGACCACCTACTCCACTATTTCTTCTCAGCTATCACAGCAAAAAAGTACTCACCAAAATGGAGAGGAAGGAGGCCCTTCTGATGAACCACCAACAAGGTAACCGCCTGGATTTTATGGATATTTAATATATGCCAGAAACAAAATTATAGATTTTGTCATATTATAAACATTAAATAGGCCAGTCCACAGACCACGTAGGGTTACCTCACAGATTATACTGTAAATTCAAACTACAGGACTATCTTGAATGCAGGCATTTTGCTAGGTGATATTCCTGCTGGTAAGTGCATGAGGAATACAACAGTCACACATAAACTAAAGCAATCCTGGAAATGATCTACTATAATTTATGCAGAAAGTAATAAGCTCCCAATACCAGAAAATAAAGTCTCTCTTTTTAGAAGAAGAGGGCTTGAGACTTATGCTCTAAAATTGAAATTGGTTGAAAGTTATCAGGTTTCTTTTTCATTTCTGAGTATCAACTTTAAAATAACTACCCACATTTACACTCTGAGTCTAGTGACATTTCAGGAATGAGAAAATGAACTTACTGATAAATATGAAAAATCAGCTTACAGTAAGAACTAAAGTTTAGAAGACCTCAACTAGGAGTAATTAATAATTTGAAATCTTTTTTAAAGCATTGGATAATTTAAGGACAAAGTGACTAAAATTAATATTGCAACTTTCCAGAACTATTTGGACTAATTTTAATAACAACCCAAAAAGGGGGCTAGGCTGAAATCTCATACTACAAATTGAGTCAGCTACAAAGTTTCAAACTCTCCCCCCATATAAACTCAGAAAATTTTAAATAAGATGGTTTATAACAGAAATACTGAAAATAAATCAACCTTGAATACTTTTAGATTTTCTCCAGGGTACCACGAATCACACCCAGAAACCCAAACAAAACAATCACTGAAATGCTTGAGATCTGCTGAAATCCAGAGTGGCAAGACAAGAAAGGAGAGAGCATGAAGCAGATAGCCCAACCTCTTTGCTCGGGCAGCACTGGTCTTTTGGAGGTCCCAAGCCATACACATTAATATTGTAAGTACAAAAAAGACAGTAGTAACACTAAAATAATAATATAAATAAAAATAGGCTCTGGTTAGAGAGAGGGGATCCGTTTACTGCCGCCCTGAGAGATACATTTGACCACCGAAAGTAGAAAAGCTATTAGCATCCTGAATTAATGGGTATAGTGGTTTTCAAACAAGATATTTTCATGATGGACACTATGTAGACTCAGCAAAGTTTCTCTTTCAAGAAAAATACAGCTTCTATTTTAAACAGCACTGATTAGGCTTAATACCATTAGGGAACCATCAAGGATTTGTGTTGTTGTTACTTTTAACTATCAGTTACTTTCTAAACCAAGAACTGTGGGTAATTAACTTGACTAACAGTCAAGGTTTAGGAATGCAGGAGCAAATCCAAGGTACAGACAAGCTTCAGATGTGGACAGGCCTTAAGGAGTTTGGAATCTTTTTAGGTTGTCAGGTCCTACCTTTCTCATCAACATTGTTATTACCTCCTTGTCTGGAATTCATAAAAATTCATTTCCCTCATCACATTCCCCCTGAAAAGCACTGAATACTACATGATTTCAGAAATTCCCTGTAAGGTTTATTAGTGGCAATGTACATCAATTACAATCAAAAACCAAATTAAGTAAATCTACCTAATGAATAAATGCTTAACCACTATTAATTCCCTATAACATACCCTGCAGACATGTTTAAAAAGTTGACAATATTAATTCCCTTTGTAAATTAATTGTAAAAAATATAACTGTTTTGAGTTAATCTTTATTAATACTTGAAAGTACAAATATAAATTAAATAAGGTTCAAAAGACATTATAACGCATACAATAAAATAGTCTATAAAACAAAGATAATTTGAAAAGAATTACTCAATTTACTTTATAGCTCTATTTTTTTTATATAAAAAAGTTTAAAACAGTACATGTTTTCTGGATCAAACATGAAAGTTCACATCCAGATGTCAAATCCTTATTCTTTCTTCATCATCAAAATCTTAATTTTTACTCCTGGCTGGATTTTTCTTCCTTGGCAATTCTTTTTGTTACACCACTAAAATATTTCTCACGGAAGGAATTATGACCTTGATATGGCAGAACATGATCACTTAGCAGATGTGAATACTGGTCCCGGTTCTGGTTGGTTGGAAAATACAAAATATAAAGATGTTTTAGTTATTTCTATAGATACCTTGTAATCAAAGCAATCATTTACTCTAAGCAAAATCTCACTCTTTGGTGCACATTATTACTTAAATTAGAAATATACTATAATTTTATATCCATATCATGCTTGTATATCCAAAGTGTTTTCACTTACTTCACCTCATCTGATCCTCATAACAGTCCTCTGCACAGAGGACAGACACTTTTTCTTTTATCCAGATAGATAGGGCAAAGAGAATCGTTCCAGTAACACATCAGGACTACAACTTTCTTCTGATTCCTAGTTCAGCACACACTGAAATCATCTGCAGCTATAGATAAGAATTATCAAACAAGGAAGCTGCTACTTAAAGAGAAAGGTGTGTAGCAATAAATTACTGCATTTGTGTGATGTCACACAGACACACAAAACTGTTTGGGGGTATATCCATATTCAGTTAAAGAAATAAGTGATTCCTGGCAACTTTTAGTAACTATATACAGAAAATTCTAGATATAGGCTAAACAAGAGATTTCCACACTTTTAGATTTCACAGGCAAGTAAGGACTACTACTCAGACTGACATTTCATGGACACTGGGATGTCAATCTGGGTTAGAATGTCAAACATATTTTGGCTTAGAAAACTGAGGGACACGAAGAATGTCAGGAAACACTGAAACACTAGCTTCTCATTCAATCTCACTAACCATTCCAAACTGTGAAAAACAAATCTAATTAGAAATAAAATCTCATTTTAAATGTACTTCCGTAAATTCTTATTCAATTACAAATGGATTAATATGATTTACAGGTATGGCGACTCAATCAGAAAACATGAAGCCTAATTTTTTATCCTGATTTCAGTATCAAAATAGTAGCTAAAAGTATATCTATAACAATCCTCAAAATATTTTTGTATTTTTTGCTTATTCCTATGTGAAATGAGTATCTTCATCCTTTCCCTCATATCTAACATTAATAAACTCAGATTTAGCCAAAATAACATTGTTGGCTCATTTTAAAAATCAGAAACAATTTTTTCCACACATTATTTAAAAAATCACACAAAAGAACAATTGTTAAAAATTATTAAACATGTCCAGATTTTTTCATTCATCAAAAATAAATAGGTGGCAATTTAAATTTTATGGTACTAAGTATATTACAGTTCCAAATTCCTTCAAGCACAGGAAAACATGCCAATGGTTACAAATTTTGGGCTACATACAATACTCAAAAGATATATTTTATGTAGGCAACCTGTAGATATAAAACTAAAAAATACCAACTGAAAGGTTGTATTTACTGGGTATTTATTATGGACCAAAAACCACACTAACTGCTTTATCTGTGCTATATAATAAAACTCATCAGCTCTATGAGATAAGTACATTATTATCACCATTTTACAGATGAGAAATTATTTAAGAGTACAGGCCCACAATAACACAGCTGGTAAGTGGCAGATGTAGGGTTTGAACACAGATCTGTTTGACTCCAGGGACTGCACTCTTAACTACAATGTAATGAGGTTTTTTCCAGGAGAGGCAACTTTTCCCCCAACTCAAGAAGTAGGAGTATAGCTCTGGGAATAAACAGGTGGTTGACTAAGGCTTTGATAGCTGAGCTGCCTACCAAGAAAGAAAGAGAACTGGATCCATTAACTAAGATGATATACTTCAATGACACAAAATTTCCTACCAGGAGAAGACAGAAGGAGCCACAGGGATACTGAGGAGCCACAGGGATACTGAGGGATATCATAACCCTAGCGGTACAGCTGACTTCACAGGTGGACTCAAGTCTGGTCCATATCTCAGGACTATACCCACGACAACAGCAATATAGAATGATGCTCCAGCATTTAATCTCAACTTGTTCATTTCAACTTTTATCAAAGTCTGAATGAAATCATAGGAAAGGAAGGGACATCTACTCCAGGTATTATAATTCTATCTTAGGTCAATAAGATCACTAGAAAGCTTGTCCACTTCCTGAGATACATTGGCATAATCCTGGCAGAAATGTTTTCTCTTGGTTATAATATTTCAAAGCTATGTCCAGATGCTGTCATCTCTCCTGCTACTACGCTTCTCCTCTAAGTTCCTGGCATCATTTTCCACCCAGTAATCACATCAGAAATTTGGGTCAAATCCCTCTTCCTCCTCTTCTCACATCTGGTCAGTCCTAAACATCTTACCTCTTGTGTCCTAAATATCTCAAATTCACTTCTCTCCACCCACAATTTCAGTACTTCTGTCTTCTGTTCTCCCCATGGCTCCTCTAGGCTATGCAAGATCACCTCTTCCTCAAAATGTGCTGTAGATAACTTCATGTAATATCCTAGAACTGCAGTAGTGAGGAGGATATGGTAGGACAGAAACACGGGATTCCAGAGAACTGGCACAGGCTCAGTTGCTACTGTGCCCAGCTGACCTAAATGCTGTTATGCAGCTCACCAGAGGGAAGCAGAAGACAAAAGTCAAAGCACAATGGAAGACAGTTTTCCTTCATGGACCAAAGAACTTAAAAAAATAGCTTGTCATTGACCTGAAGGATACAAATAGGGCAAACTGGTGGTAAACAACAGAAAATATAAAGATCAGAGTCAGAGACTGAGAATGAATAGCAGAAGCCCAAAAAGCCTAAAGTAACAATTAAAACCTATGCTAACTAATGGTCATCAAGAAAACATTTACCACCTATGACATCCTTTATCTGAACAGTTTAGACCCCAAGATTCCTGCAGAATAAAGTAAAACAGACTACGTTCTGTTAAGGTGCTACAGGAACACAGTGGCGAAGACACGCATACTACTGGAAAAGTTGGGAAAGACCATTAACCTTAAAAATGCAACCTATAGGGAGAAAAATCCTGTTTTCCTTATCTCCCAGGTAGTACAGAAGAATCACTGTGAGGTTTGTGTTTGGGTCCAGTGCTTGAATGCCCCCTTCTACAACACCTATTGTCACCTGATTGTGAAATAGAACATTCATAACCGAAACTCCTGGAAAATCCAAAAGCTCCAAATCTCTTGTGCAGCCAAGGATCTGGCAAGAGCCATTCTACTAACTAGCAGCATAAGTTCTGCTTCACGGGTAAGCCAGACACTCTAGGGACTGTGGCTACTATGTTCAACTAAGTGAAAAGCCATGGTTCATAAAATGTTCTTCATGAACCATTCAGTATACCTATAGTCTAACACATATCATCACGTACAATCATACATATAAATACCATATGCCTCCAAATAATACACATTTACAATACACCCTGTCCATATGAAATACATTGCACTACACAGCATTCAGAATTTATGTTACCTCAATGCTGAAAACAACGGCAAACTCAATTTTTGTTTTGTCTTTTCCCTTTACCTCTCTTTCATTCTATCTTTAGTTTAGTTTACTAGGGCTCACTTGAGATGATGATATTCAACTCTACATATTTTTCATCACCTTTTCACGACTCTTCTCTATGCACATTCCCTGCCCATCTCAACCAAGAATATCTGCAGTTGGTTTTTTTTTTTCCAACTCAGTATCTCAAAGGCCAAAGTGTTTACTTAAAAGAAGAGTATCCTCAAGGAACACAGTCTTCATCTCCCTCATTAACTCAAGCTTGCCCCTGGTGTTCGACTTCTGGTTTCTCTAATGTTTCCAAATCTATCTCTATCAATTATGGTATCATCTATGTATCATAAGACCTGAGTTCTGCCAATTTTTAGTAGGCAAGAAATACTTGATGGAAAATAAAAAAACACAGAGAATTAGGAAATGCTAAGAGAGAAAACTATGACAATGAATGGTTACACACCACCTTCTCCAAATTTCTTAACTACTGGTAGTAATTAAGAAGATATGAATAAAACATTCTATTAACACTACTGATTACACTATATTACCATTTTTTATAACCAGAAATTAAGAGATTCTGTAGGAAAATCTGTATGAGCCACAAATGGCTAAATGCAAATATAGCTTTCAGACCTATCATTTGTCTTTGAAAGACATTAAGCAATTGTAAATAATACAAGAAATATACGAGTTCTGATTCAAGGAACTATATATGTGCTACCAGCTATGTATTTTACATAAATTCATTATTTAATCTTCTGCATCATTCCACAGCAGATTATTATGAAAATTTTACAGATAGGGAAACAAAGGCTGAAAGAGTTTAAATAATCTGCCACAGGTCACATAGCTAGTAAGGAGCACTGCCAGAATAGTAGCTTAAGTCAGACTTCAAAGCTCATGCTTTTTCCATTACACTTCTCTTTTTTGTAGTAGAAATTACATCTTAACGATGGCTGAAGAGGTGATTTCCCACATGGTAGATTAGTGGGTCATTCAAAATGGAGTTTGACATTTAGAGGACATTCCTCACTGAACAGCAACGTTACGGTAGCACATATTTCAGATCTGAATTTTAGACAGAACCCTTTTAACCACTGTCCCACCCAACCAATTTCCTGTCCTATCAGTACTGCTAATTCTAAACATAAACCACTCGAGGAATTTTAACACACTTGCCAAAGAAACCAAAAGAAGCCTTACAAATCGGTGGTTTACTTTTATGTGTACACTCCCCTCTGCTGGCTGGAGCAGATAAACCTTTCTTTATAGTACTTCCTGATGTCTACAGCATAGCAGACCATTCATCTGACGGTCAGGAGAGCTCTGTTTTCCTAGCTGTTTGCAAGTCCTGATTGCTGTAAACATCTAGATCCCCATTGCCTCAACATGACCAGGATGGCCTTTTTCCTCAGGGAACATTACCATTTATTCACAATATTTTTAAATGATACGAAATATAAAAATACACAGTCACCTCACTGATTCTAAAATGTTATCATAGTCATCTGCGTCCAACCTAGAATTGCAAATCATTCTCTTGGGCAAGAAAGAAAAACTACATAAACTAGACCTTATTCAAATTAATCCTTCATTATTTTTACAACTAATTGTACATCAAAAATACAGTA